TACTAACTTATGCCCCTATTAAAACTAACATTAGTTAAATGTTCATTAGTTTCAACCACCATCTCACCACCAGTTTTTTCTTAATATTCAATTTTTTATCTGATTTTCTATAAGAAAAAATACATGGAACACAACTAACCTTAACACCATCTTTTTTATCTACCGTCAATTCGTTCTTAAAATTCATAACATGGTTACATTTATCACATTTTATAGATTTGCTTTCACCCAATGATTTAATACTTTCCGTTGTTTCTTTTCGTGCTTCAGTATCAGGCGTTGGTCTTTCTTTGCTTTTACTCTTTTTCTTTTTGGCATTTATCTTTAAATTTTCATTTTTATTTTTGATATATTGTATTCCTAGTTTAATTAATTCTCATGAACAATAACAGCATTTCTTAATTTTATTATCAGATAATATTATTTGTTCTATATTCTCTACTTCATTTATTATATCAATATTCTGAATAACTTCTATCCATATTAAATAATAAGATGAAATAATTCTACAAATACTTATTTGAACTTATTATTTCATGCACGGTAGAATATTCGGAGGGCACAACGATGAAGTTTTCTTTGCACTGGAAACACAAGCGAGGTTCAAACTAATTCAAACTAATTAGTCTCAATGCTTATGATTGAAGTTGATGAAAGAGCCTGTTCTACCACGATAGACCCCATTCATATCATAGCAATGCTTTCATACAATAAACAATATTAAATTATTTTCTAAATATGCTTAATATTAACTATATGTCAGATGCTCCAATAATAAAGCCAATAAACATAACTGAATATGAACTCAAACAATCTAAATATGAGTACGTGCCAAAATTACCATTTAGAAGTATTATAGTTGCGAGTTCGACAGGAGGCAAAACAGTCTTGGTTCAGAACCTTATCTTAAATCTTTATAGAAATTCGTTTGCAAGAATATTTATATTTTCCCCCAGTGTTCATAATGACCCAACCTTTACAGAAGTTAAAAAGTATATCAGGGATGAATTGCACGTGGATGATGAAAAAGAACAAATTTATTTTGATAATTATAATCCAAGTGATTTAGAAAATGTAATTGAAAGACAGAAGAAAATAATTAATTATACGAAATCTAAAAAGATAAAGAAACTACATTCAATATTAATCGTTATAGACGATCATGCCGACGATCCTAAATTTGTTAGATATAGTAAATTATTACATGGATTATTTACAAGAGGTAGGCACGATGCAGTAAGCGTAATTTGTTCAACACAAAAATACAATGTTTTGGCGCCTATCATTCGTTTAAATGCCAGTTCATTATATACTTTAGGTTGAAAAATGCCAGTGAATTAATGAGTTTTATTGAAGAAAATAGTGCCATTGTTGACAAACAGCAGTTATTAGATATGTATCATCAAGCCGTTAATTTTGCTCCATATTCCTTTTTCTACGTGAATATGAATTCAAAAGACATTAACAAAATGTTTCATATCAATTTTGAACAGGCATTTCAATTTACTGAAAATTAATAACATTAAGCAATAGGCTTAATGTTATTAATTCAAAATAATGAATATTACATAATTGAACAGGTAATTTGTATATTAATTTGTCAGATTTTTCTTTTTCTAATTTCTCAATTCGTGCCACACATTCTTGAAGAGATTTAACAATTAAAGTGTCTGCTCGTGTTTTTCATCTATACTTAAAACCTTCCAAACCATTATTTTCATTTTTTTTTACTTTGAAGAGCACCTATTATATATAATATTATTTAGATTTTAATTTTTCAACATTATATTTTTGTGTTTCTTCTCCGTCTTCTTCTTCGTCTTCAGTTGGTGCTGGTATTTCTGTTGGACTTTCAGATGAAGAACTATGAGCAGTAATAGGTGGAGAACTATGAACACTAATAGCTTCATTTGATGAATTGCTACTGCTACCTTGTGCATTTCCTGCTGTTATTTGATTAACTAAATCTGCGATATTTATTGTTGTTGCAATTGTGCTATGTGATAAGTTTAATATTATATCTGCTACTGTAGCGCCGTTGTGTAGCATTATTTCTATCATTTTTGTCAGTTTGGATCTTTTTTCTTCTTCATCGCTGCCCTCCTCGTCTGGTGGTTTTTTTGGCGGTGGTTCTGGTGGTTTGTTGTTGTCAAGCATTGTAGTAAAGGCTCACAGCATTGCATCGCGTTGGTTTTTCAGTGTTTGTGTTGCTTGCGTTCTTGTTGGTTCATGTCTTTTGTATGCGTTGTGCCAAAAGTTTTTAAGCATTATTTTAAACATATTGTCTTGGTTTTCCTTTACCTTGAACGCTTCAAATGTCATATTTAATTGCTGATTTGCATCATTGTATAACTTTTCGTCAGTCTGCCTGGTTTTCGTAGCAATCGTATCTGTGTTGGTTGCAGTGTCAATAAATTCTCTCGGTATGCCCTTTTTCATCAAATTCGGTGGCTGTATTGTTGTTGGCGTGTTTGGTTTTGTTAGGCTATGTGTTGAAAAACTGTCGTCGTGATCATATTTATCATTGAACTTCTGCTTTTTCTTTTTCAGTATTGTTTTGTTAATATCATCATTAAACATATCTTTTTTATTTCTTACCCTTACCCCTAAAACTTGCATTGAGTTCTTCTATTCTACCTCTGCTTAAATTTACTATCCATCCGCCATTATCAATAGTGTCTAAAATCATATCTGTTAAGCATTCTTTGTATGATCTCGCCTTGCCTCTGCCCTAATAAAACTGAAATTTAATATCATTTACTGTTAAATTAGGGTTGTCTTTCCAGTAAGCAGGACTAATATTATTATCTATTGTTGTTTTAAATAATGGCGTCATTGGCAATGGTGGTGGCTGTTGGGCTGTTGAACTTGATGCTCCTGTTGCTTGTTGAACTGGTGTCGCGTAAATATTGTCATCTACTGCTTGAGGTGATAGTTCAACATCTTCTATGCGCATTGTTTGTTGGTCGTCTACTACTGCTCTACCTGCTGGCGTTTGTCGTGGTTCTGTTGGTGCTGATTGTCTGTTTGCCACCATTCTATGAAATAATGTCCCACCCATCTCTCTTAAATTTGATGCCATCGCTCTGCCTACTTCCTCCGCTCTTCGTTTCGTGGCAGTTGCTATACCTTGTAGTTGTGTATCTACCATTCCCTCGTGTTGTCTTGTTGTTTGTAGCGGTGTTGAAAAATCATATTCGTCTGCTATTGCTTGGTCGTTTGTATGCTGTGGTGTATCTGTATCCATCTTATGAACTGCATATGTGTGTCCGTTTCTGTGTGCTTCCTGTCTCATCATTATCTCTCTCATTTGCCTGTCTAATATTCTCATTTGTTGGTCTTTCAATAATTCTAAATGGTTGATTTAAAAAATGTAGCATCTCTGTTAGGTAGTGTTCCTGTTAATTGTTCGTTCTCGCCTATTAGATTAGCGATTTCTTCACAAGTAGGTCGTCGTTTCAATCCAAATTTTGCGTATGGATTTATTAGTTCTAAACTTGCTGTAGTTGCCATATTGATCTAATATTAATTAGAAAATATTATCTCAATATGTTTAAGGTAAATGTTATTTTTTCAACTCTTCAATTCTTTTTTGTAGGTGCTCTAATGTGCTATGTGGTAGACTTGGCGGTGTAGTTCCATTGTTAATCTGTCTAATTCATTTTGATAATTTGATCTGGCGTGTCCTCCTTGAATGTGTTTTCTAAATGTTACTGATGCTTCCTGTGAGTTTCTTAACTTTGTTCGTGTAGATGCTTTAGATATTCATTATCTTTTAAATCAGTTGGACTATATTTGATCTGCGAAGATTGTAAGAATGTCTTACCTTTATGTTTTAAATTATTTTAGTGCCTCCGGCTCAGGCCGCCGACATTACAGGCCTGCTTTCTTTTTTGCGTCCCTTTGGAATTGTCCCCTTGCCCCCTTCCCCTCTGAGATTTTTGCCCCCCTTTCTTTGTTGAGATCCATTCCCCCTTTCCGCCCTAAGGCCTTTTCTCCCTCTGATTTTTCCCTTTTCCTCCCTAAGATGTTTTCCCCCCTCTCCCTGTTGAGATCCTTTCCCCCCTTTCCCCCCTAAGGCCTTTTCCCCCCTGAGATCTTCTCCCTTTTCCTCCCTTTCCCCCACTTTCCCCCCTACGGCCTTTTCCTCCCTGGGATCTTTTTCCTTGATCTTTCCCCCCCTTTCCCTGTTGAGATCCTTTCCCCCCTTTCCCCCCTAAGGCCTTTTCCCCCCTGAGATCTAAGATCCTTTCCCCCCCCTTTCCCTGTTGAGATCCTTTCCCCCCTTCCCTTACGGCCTTTCCCCCCGCTGAGATCTTCTCCCTATTCCTCCTCAAGATCCTTTGCCCCCTTTCCCTGTTGAGATCCTTTCCCCCCTTCCCTTCAAGGCCTTTCCAGATCTTCTCCGTTTTCCTTCCTAAGATTGTTTCCCCCCTTTCCCTGTTGAGATCCTTCCCACCCTTTCCCCCCTCAGGCCTTTCCCCCCCCTGAGAGCTTCTCCCTTTTCCTTCCTTAGATCTTTCCCCCCTTTCCCTGTTGGCCTTTTTTCCCCCAGATCTTCTCCCTTTCCTCCTTAAGATCTTTTCCACCCCTTTCCCTGTTGAGATCATTTCTCCCCTTTCCCCCCTACGGCCTTTGCCCCCAGATCTTCTCCCTTTCCTTCCTAAGATCTTTCCCCCCCTTTCCCTGCTCAGATCCTTTCCCCCCTTTCCCCCCTAAGGCCTTTCCCCCCCTGAGATCTTCTCCCTTTTCCTCCCTAAGATCTTTTGCACCTTTCCCTGTTGAGATCCATTCCCCCTTTCCCCCCTAAGGCCCTTTCTCCCTCTGAGTTTTTCCCTTTTCCTCCCTACGATGTTTTCCCCCCTCTCCCTGTTGAGATCCTTTCCCTCCTTTCCCCCCTAGTAGTGAAGGATCCCTTTTTGAGGGGTCACCAATTTTCTCACAAAAGGCGGCAAAAAAACATCCCCTCTGGGAAAAACATGATTTTCAAGACAAGCGTCAAAGCGCAACACGAACAGATCATATGGCCGCAGCGCGCCGGGCTTTTGTTCACCGACGCGGGCTACGGATGCTGACTACTCTGGTGTAGTTTGAGCCGGGAAGCTGTAAACGAACAACTCCATTGCCTGTTTAGCTGTAGGCAGTTGTTTCTCTCTTCGGCCGGACGCGTTTCATCTGCGCCGGCCTCATCCCACGTCCTTGGAGAAATCTGTTCAAAAGACAAACAATCAAACTGCGAAAGTCTCTCAAGTCCCAACTAAACAAGCCTATGCAAGTGCAACATGAGTCAGCACCTTTTCTCCTGGTGCAGCCTTGAGCCACCAAAGTGGCTGGAAACAAGTACTGTTGCTGCCTGCATGTGTGGAGGAAACTAATTCACAAAGAAGATAACAAACAAGAAACAGCAAACAAAAGACGACAACAACCAACCAACAAACAAGCAACAAACAAAGAAACAAACCTACAACGGTAATGATAGTTAACAACCAACAAACAACAACCAACAACAACAAAAACAAACAATAAACAGGAAGGGATTGTCGGCTCGAAGATGGCACTGTGGCTCCCCAGGCACTTGCTATTCTGCAGATATCCCCAGACCAGCGGCGTATTCCACACACGAGACCTGTCCTTGAGCGATGCCTGCCACGCGACTCCATCTTTTAAGATGGGACGAGGCGCCGTCCAAGCATTGGGTGCCTCCCCGCACTTGGGTCCCAGAAATTTAATTATAAAAACAGCCCTGTCGTACCTAGCCAGCGCGGAGAAGATCACGAACAGGAACACCAGGAGGGGTGACCGTGGGCTAAGGCTAAGGGTTAGGGCTTCGAGCTTGACAAGAAACATGCAAGAAGCTAGCTCCAGGCGCCCTCCTGATGTAAGTCGTCTATTTCAGAATAAAGAATGTCCGCAGCCCCAGCCAGCCGCAGCGGGATGACACACGTGGCTGGGTTTGCATAAATGTTGCACATGCGGAAGACATCACATGACTGCGCGAGCATCCTTTTCCAAACGATATTTCCCCTCCCGGCCCCACCCACCCATGAGCGCATGCGCATCTTCTATCGAACGTTATTCCCCCTCCCTGCCCTACCCACACTGTTGTCGCAAACGTTCTTGCCAAAGTATAGAACTCACAGGGCCGTGAACAAAAAGAACAAAAAGAACAACAAGAAGAAGAAGAACAAGAAGAACAATAACAAGAACAAGAACAAGAACAATAACAATAACAATAACAAGAACAACAAGAACAAGAACGAGCACAACAGCAGCAGCAGCAACAGCAACCAGCAACATGCAATTGACAGAGGCGGTTCTGCATAAACAGGTGAAGCGCAAGCGAAAACGCGATCGACCAAAAAACATCCTGGGCGCAAGCAAAGCCGAAACTCTCAGAAGACGGGCGCAAGATTTCAGCCAAAATAACTATGGACAGGCAGATATATGCCCCGACTCTTTATCTGGAAGACACAACGGCTTCGCTCAAAGCCCGGACCAAATATCCGGATATTTCGATAGTCGTGCTCCAGACCATTTCCGAAACACTCCGGATATTTCGACGATAGCATTTCCGGAAATATTTGGAAT